ACCAACCGGTTTTACAAAAGCCAACGACAATCTACTCTGGACTCGTTCTGTACGCCTCCTACTGATCTCCTAGAGGTTTCTTGAAACAAATAGGTGAGGCATGAGCAATCTAAAATTACCCAGTGAGTCCAGGACCCTCTATACAACAGTTAATTCCCCAACCCAAAACCCCAAAATAAACAATGCAATGCATGCTTGCACCATGCAACAATATCAGAGAAATAACACAAGCGGAAACTCAAACAAGGGTGGCATGTCCATAGTAACCTCACTGCTACTATGCATGCCGAGGCTATAACAACCCAGTTACTAAGCCTAAACCACAAACATGACCTTAGCCCACTGGCTATGCATGTCCACACTAGGCCTCAATCATGACTGTAGCCCACTGGCTATGCATGAGAGGCATACACTACACTAGGCCTCCATCATGACCATAGCTCTACTGGCTATGCATGAGAGGCACACACTACACTAGGCCTCCATCATGATCATAGCTCTACTGGCTATGCATGAGAGGCACAAGACGGGTAACGAGGCCTCTACGGTGTATCGGTTAACAGCTCCCTCCACTTGAACACCCGTGCCTACTTACCACAAAGGACCATAGACCAGAACATCAATCCGACATGTCCTTGCCTCGACAGTCGGCCTGCATTGCCCTTGCTCGACAATCGGTCATGCATCGTTATGCATTACTCGGCCACGGGCGCTACCCAAGCCACTCTGAGTCTTCCTCCCGTCATGAACCGAGGGTTTCTCGTATCCAATCAGTTTGGGAAGCGGGACTGCCGATACACCCCTTAACCACATGTGAATGATCACACCAGATAGATTCACAACACTACAAGATCATGTGAATGATCACACCACATGATCCGTTCCAAGCATATGGGCTTTCACGCACCATCATGCTTCCACTACATGCACCAACATGTAGTACAACAATTTATGCAGCATTACTCTTCATAGTTAATGCGGCATACTTATCATAATCATTTCTGCGGCATAACTCGTTATAGTTAATGCGGCATACTTATCACAACAATTTCTGCGGCATAACTCTTCACAAAACTCACTTTTTATGAAAGTTAATACGGCATACTTATTCACAATTTTTGCAGCATAACTCTTCGCAAAACTCCTCTTTTGTGAAAGTTAATACAGCAATCCTAATAAAATTTCTGCAGCATAACTCTTCACAAAGTTCTCCTATTTGTGAAAGTTATAAAGCGGAACCTCTACCAAACAACAATAACTTAAGATGAACACACATAGTGTTTCATCCTTAAGTTACAGCCTGCATGAGAATTCATTAGTATAAATCTATACTACCGGGACTCACCTTGGACTCTCCTAGCTTAGTGGGATCCTTCCTCTTTAGATCGCCTAAGCTCTACTCTTCTTTGAGCTTACTAGCTCTTCACTACTCTCTCCCTCTCTCTCTCTAGAATTTTTGTTTTACCTTTGCGTTGGCTGAGAATGGTTTGAAAGAATGGCCTCAGGGGGGTATTTATAGGGGAAGGATGGCCTGGGACGTGGGTAACTCATCCAATGGCTACGTGACACTCATTCGTTCCTATCTACTAACCAGAGAAGACAAAACAGCAGTCCATGCTTATCCCCGAACCAAAGAAGACGAAACAGCAGTCCAAGCTTATCTATTCATCTAGATGGACGTAATAGGAGTCCATTCTTATCTCCTTATCCACAAAAACGAAATAGGAGTCCATGCCCATCTCTTTATCTCTTCAGTTTGGGTGTTTTCGCGTTATTGGCCGAAATCGGGATAAGTATCATCAAGACCCTTATCTTCAAGCTTTTATCCCGTGTGTTGTCTCTCCATTGGCCATAATCACGGCCCTTATCTTCTGCTCTGACCATAGTCACGAGGCTTATCCCATAGCCTGGTTACGGTTTTGTCTCTATTGATCTCCTTTTCAGACTGGGTGTTCGTGCGGAATTGGCTGTGTAGTTTGATCTTATCTTCTGTTCCATAGGCTATAATCACGAGACTTATCTCTTAGATTAGTAGCCTATCCCTTCTCATGGTTACAGCCACGGTTTTTGTCCCATAGATGACTCAATCCACGTCCATCCATGATTGGTCCCCAATGGTGGCTGGTTTTGTCCTTATAGATTCACCTTTGGTTTCGTCTTTATAGATTCAGCTTTGGCCATCATTATTGGTCCGTCCTTGGTGGCTAAGATTTTAAACTTCCTTTGTCATTATAGATGTGATCCATATCCACGAAAACTAGTCACACCGAGACATCTCCTGCTGCGGTTATAAGTTGGTCAAGTAGCTGCTTGGGTGTCGTCGTCTGATTGGTCAAATTTGGACTTCGACTATTTCTTCTTCAAACTTCATTTTCTTTACAAATAAATGTCTCTCCTTCATGTGCCACTGTTGGAATGAAGCTTAGTCCTCATGTTAATCTTCTATCCGAGCCTTTCGAGCTTCAGATGACCATTTTGCTTCTTCTTCGAACGCTTGTAGATTTTCTTGATAATTCTTCAGACTTCTTTTGACCAGTCACTTAGATTTATTATTCTAAGTGTGTCAACTCTTCATATTTTAGCTCCATTAATCAATCCAAATCAACTCCTCCTTGAAGCTGGAACTTCGGCTTTTGGCTTGTCCGCTTTTGGTCATCTCCACGTCCGCAATGGTCTTCTCTTGGCCATCTTAGGTTGCATCAAGCTTTTCTTCTTCTGCTTCGGCCATAAGGTTAATTTTGGCCTACGCTATCAATCCAAGTCATCCTTGTGTTGATTCGATGATTTTGGTTTTTCGGCCAAAGTTATCTCTCCTGGCCGTTCGGTCTGGCCGTCCTCTTCTCTCGTCCGGGTTATTACAACGACAGGCAAGAAAATAAGCGTTGAATCGGAAAATGAAAGCCAGAAGAGGTCGTGTGCAGTTGATACTCCTTTAATAGATGAGGAGAATTCGAAAAGTCTGGTGGACACGATGAAAGAATATTTCGAGAATTGCTGCACAGCATTGTCTGGGGAAATGAAGGTTGGATTTGAGGTGTGCAATTCGCAGTTGAAGCTCTTGGCTGACAAGATTGTGGCTGTGGAGCAAACCTTTGTGAAGATTAAAGACCCAAAGAATGATGAGCATGTCAAGTCTAACGACGACACCCCTAAAGAAGATCCACCTGCTGGTCGATTAGTTCAGAACCCCATCCCAAATCTACTAAAAGGACCTATAAGACTGCTCAGACTCCTAAGCCTTTTTCACTCCCAAAGTTACTAGGGCAAGCACTAAGGCTAAGAATTAGACTTCAATCAACATAATTCATGTTATTGTACTCACAGAACATTTATATTTTCTTAATTGTACTCTTATTTGGTGATGTTCGAAATTCTAGAATATTAATAAAGCCTCTTTCGTATGTTATTTTCCCTTCTTTGAATTAACATCTTTAATGCATACTTTCAGAAAAAAAAACCAGAAAATCCATATGAAAGTGTGAACTGCAGCATGGAAACAAGAGTCGTCTTTGTAGGGAATTTCCCACGAAATAAAAAAGATGTGGATAATCAGTTAAAGAAACAACAGTCACGGAAGAAGGTAGCACAAATTGTGGCAAGAGCTAGGACCGATAGGCTAGGAAGGTTATCTTCTTTACAGTTTACCATAGTTGAGGGAAAAACCACCGCAAAGGTAAAACAAGGCGGTGATATGATCCTCTTGCTTCCATTGACACAGAGAAGAGTAAGGTTCTAAATGATTGGTTGAAACATCTTTCGTAAGTTTTCCCTATCAAAACAAGTTCTATAAAGTCTACATATTTAGTTATTTTGTCAATATAATCTGAGTATTATCTACTCATGTCTCTGCAGAAATTGGCCAAAAAGGGTGTATAAGAAGCAACCATTCAACCATTGGTGGTGGATTCTGGGAACTCCATTGCAGTGGCTGAAAGACACGGTCAGACTTTTTTCAGACTTTTTGATACTTATTCTTGTGCAGACTTCTTGTGTAAACTTCATCTGTAGGCTTCTTTTGTAGACTTCTTGTGTAGACTTCCTGTGTAGACTTCCTGTGTAGACTTCTTGTGTAGAGTTCTATGGTTTGCTACTTGAATTCTCTATTTATTTGTGGCTGCAGGATATGGACACCATCATGAACTTGCTGAGGTAGCGCATGACGAAACATCTGAAATGGTTTAGGAGTGACCGTATTTGTCTGCTTGATTTATTATTGGACTTGATGTGGAGTAACAAGTACAAAGAGTTTGTAGATAGTACAATGAATCCAGATGCTCAAGTAGAATGCTGCGAGCTGGTGCGCTTGATTATTACAATGGTGAGGCACCAGATTTCTGCAAAACGGACAAGACATGGGGGCTCCAGATTGATGATATATACATGTCATTGAACATTAAAGGGGATCATTGGGTTGCTATGTATATATCATCACTTGATAGGCACATTGTCATTTAGGACAGCCTTTCCATTCATTATAGTCCTGAAGAGATACCTTTAGCAGTGGAGCCTATTGCACTCATACTACCGTATCTTTTTCGGGAAATGGCTTCTCCAGAAGATAAAAAAAAATTAACATATGAACCTTTCATGCACACATGGATGAAAGTTGAGGGAGCGCCACAAGAAGCTGGTGGTGATGATTATGGAGTGCATTACCTAAATTTCATTGAGTATCATGCCCCTGAGAGTGCATTTTTATTTGCACCCATAGAAACCCTGTGTTTATGTGTATTAACCTAGTATATACTTCAATAAAATCGTATTTTTTTTCAAAAAGAATAGCTTATCATGTCGTGGATTAAGTAATATCAGTTTTTTCTTTAACGATTATTATCCATATATGAAACCAAACTACATGATAAAAATGTAAAGCATCAAAACTCGTCAAAGGCTTTGAGAGGATTCTTTGGGTCAACATCTTCAATGATGGGAAGATCCACAGCTAAGTCATCAGCTCCAATGCCTTCTTGTTTAAGTTCCTTTGCAACTTCTTCAAACACTACTTTGTTCCCGACCCGGCTCAAATGTAAACCGTCCCTAAAATCCCCCCCAAAAAAACTAATTAGTCACGCATTGCATTCACTATTTTGAAGAATGCAACATATAGATATAGGTAAGATTTAGTATATACTTACCATAGACATTCCGTTTGCCAACTTGGAATTTGCTGCATTTTGGACCAAAGATCGACGGCTGAGATTTGACATTCCCTAGCTACGTCTACACACGCTTTTGCGTATGATCCGGCTGCTTCATTTGTTCTTTCTGGCAAGCCCGTCATGTTTTCGATATAAGGGTATCTAAGAATACCAAGAACACTGTCTTAGATATAAAATTTGGTGGCAAAAATTATATAACAATCCATGTATGATTTTAATAAAAGTTAAACAAAAGTTGGAAATAAAATAATGAAGACGAGAAAGGTAGAGAACGAACGTACCGGAGGCGAGCCTCTTCGTGGACTGGAGGTGGAGTTATAAGAACAATGACCGTTTGTGGCCAACGGTTCTATTCAAAACAAAATTTTTGTTAGTAACGAAATTTATAATTATAAGTAATACGGAATGTCTAACCACTGACTTGGTGCTTCTCAAATTATAGACTTAGTGTTTCTCAAATTATACAAACTTTCCCAAAAAGAAAATAAATGATCAAAGCATGGGACTTTTTAGTCAAAAAGACACTATATTAAATAATTTAATGAATTACTATTATAACATAGTTAACATTTAACAGAAAAGCCACTTTATAGAGATGCACTTTGTTTATTTTATTCAAGTTCTAGTGACCGGTAATTTATAAGTATGGCTATCATATAAACCACAAAAAAAAGTATGGCTATCATATAAACCACAAAAAAAAGTATGGCTATCAGGGATCATCACCACCATCTACCACTTTACAAAAGCAACAAAAATAAATAATTACATAAATGCAGAAAATTGGTATGAGGTCATAATTATATACATGTGCAAGATGACGTTAAATTAATGCATGTGCAGAACTTTTGATAAGATATAAAAAGAATTAGAAAAATGGTTACCTTGAGAAATGAAACCATAGAGAGAAGATTCTGTTTGTACTCGTGAAGTGGCACGTGCTGAAACCCGGAGCATCTCTCCGGCAGACATGCATCGTTTGCTCCAAAGAATACACTCACCGCCGCCGGATATTCTCCGTCGTCTACTGCTGCCACCGAAAAAACTCTCTCCATCACTTTTAACGCCCATCTCGTGTTATATCCACTGTATCCTCGTAACACCACATCAGCCTAACAGATTTTATATATAAGAAGGCATCATTAGTGAAGACATAATTGTGATTTTAATACTAAGAAGAAAGCCACAAATTAAAGAATTCAAAACAAAAGAAAATATTATTATGTAAACTGGATATAATTGCTTAACTTCTTAAAATTTATGTTTTCATCATGAGAACTAATAATCCATCTAGAAAACCAATTTAAACAAAAAGAACGATTTTAACAATTATGAAAACAAAAATATTATTGACATAGAAAAAACTAACTTTTATCTTAAGATCGGCAGAATAGAGAATCAGATAAATTTCTGTAATCTGATTAATAAAATCCCTACAATCGTGAAGTTGTTAATCAAAACCTAAGTATTTACATTTTTGATAGATAGATGCAAATGCGAGATATATACCTTGCGGCGGAGCAGATCGGCGAGAGAAGCTCCCCAACCACCGTCACTAAACGATTCTTCAGTAATGGAATCACCAAAAAGAAAGATCTTCGGCCTCATCTTTTGAGTTCCTTCTTCAAAGTTTCTCTCTTTCTAATTTTCCCGAGGCAATCCGGAACGAAACAGTGTATAGTGGTTTTGCAGAAGTGATCGTGTTTGAATTACTAAAGAGAGAATTATTATTGGGGCAAACAAAATTAAAAGTCAGATGCACTAAATGCCTTCAGAGTTTTCACCCACTAGTCACCGACCCTTCATGATTTAAATAATGTGTATATAGAGAAAGCTTGAAATGAATCATTTTTAAATCGTATAACATTTAATGGATTCACATGTTTGTTTGTTTGTTTTTCTCCATTTTTGTCATAGTCATCAATGATTTTTTTGAATTTTCGAGCTAAAGGGGTAACACAAACGACTACAACCCGAATCAAACGAGACAAAACCAAACTAAAACAAAGACAAGTCAGCACAACTCGCAAAACAAAGCTCAATTCAATGGCACAAACGTTTGAAAGCAAAAACTTGAAGTTTATAAGATTGATAAATCTTGAACTTGAACTTCTTTTTTAATAAAAATAAAATAAATCTTGAACTTATTAAAGTACAAGAATAAAGAGCTTTTATAGGCTCGTGAAAAAGACCTCCAACAATAAAAACTAACTAAAATGTAAAAAGAAAATAAGAGCACAAGTCATTGAACAACATCAAGTAAACACAAGAAGATACTAATTAAAAAATACCATGCATCACCTTATGATATTTTCATGCAATAGCTCTCCCTCTCCCGATTTTTGATTTTACAATACTTGACCACTCCTCATGTTAACATAGTCACATAGATAACTACAAGAATTTTTACAACTGCGTTGTATTTATGGGCTACGTGGAGATCGAGTTTACAATCATAATCCATAAATCAAATCGATCATAAAATCGGTGACACACTTAAACACAGCATGAATGCAATTACGCTCTACGCTTTTATACAAACGAGCCTTTAAGGATAAGAGCCCAAATTAGGCCCATTAATCTAATCCTCGGGTCGGTTCAACATACTGTTTAGTTTAATGCCATTGAAAATTTGAAATTATGACACCTCATTGTTCATTTGATAGCCTATTATTTCTGGTCAAACTCTATATAAACAAATCTCAATTATTTTGACAAGAACATTTGCTAACTGTTTACTGATTAAAAAACTAGAAAGGATTACACTAGCATATTTGATCCAACGCTTAATTTATGTCAACTATTGTTATTTTTTGTTCATTCCACGATTTTTGGGCTAGTGAACATGATCGGTCGTTGAACAACCTAACTCAACAGCCAATTAAACCAGAGACAAATCATGATGCCCACGTCATGATGAAGACCGTTGAAACGACGGCGGTTTTGAGAAACCAATAAGAATAAACTCATTAAACTCTCACGCGCCAATTTTCCCAAACTCTCCGTAATTATTTGTTTTGTTAGCGTATTCCGTCATTTTATTTAAGGAATGTTTTTTTTTTGAAAAAATAGAAATTAAGGAATGTTTTACAACTTAACAATCACTGCATAAGAAAAATAGTATATGACATTTCAAAGACAGCAACAATTGTGAAGAAAACACAGAAAATAAAATTATTACGTTAGTTGAACATATATTTTCTATATTTATTTATTTGAGTTTTTTCAATATTTTAGATAGTTATGTTCCATGCAATTATTTTTCTTTGATTAAAATAACCAATTATATAACACCCTTTAAATTCTCTATATCAATAAAAAAAATTGTAATAAATAAAGGAGAATTACTATTTTACGGGAATTTTCTATATCAACACAGTTGGGTCCATGTTGTGTCTCTGAATATCACGCGGCTTGATGGCGCGTGGAAGTTTATTCAACGTGGAACGTTCTTCTTTAAATTTTTTTCCTTCTAGTGCACCAACGCGTATATTGGATTTGGGTAGAGAATAGCCCGAAAGAGAAATACGTATCGAAATTGCAAAATTTGAAAGAAAAATATTTAATTAATTATTAAATTTCAACCCGAAGAAGGAGCAACTTTCTAGGACGAAGAAGCATTACTCTTCAATTGAAAAAAGAACGAGGTTGAAACGGAAGAGAAGCTGGTCTTTGGTCCTCTCTGTTTCTAGTTTCTACCGTGGAATTTAGATCTCTTCCTTCGCCGAATCGAATCAATCAGGGAGACGACGAATCGACGCGAATAATAGTGAAGTCGAATTTTGGATTTTGAAGGTCGAGACCTGTTGGATCGGGGTGAATCCAAATGGTTCGATCGGGTAGTTTTAGCGTCGATTCGTCGGCGAGTCATCGGCGGACGCCGTCTCGAACGGTGACTTTGGGTCATATACAGCCACAGGCTCCGAGTTATCGTACCGTCTTCTGCAATGATCGGGATTCTAATCAGCCCGTCCGGTTCAAGGTACGCCGGAGTTGTAGTGTTTTCCCGGCGGGGAATGTGTGTTGATGTTCGCTTAATCGCTCCTGTATTGCGGTGTTTTGTTCCTAATCTCAATTACCGAAGATGCGCATTGGAATTTGTGCATTTTGGATTCATCGATCTGTTTGGAATCTAATGAATGTGTGTGTTCATTTTTTCAGGGTAATTCGATTTCTACAACAAAGTACAATGTTTTCACTTTTCTGCCGAAGGGTCTGTTTGAACAGGTAAATACGAATGGTTTTTCTTTGTTTCTTGGATCTAAGGGTTGCTAACTTAGCTCTAGTATGTATCTAGGAGTTAGTCTTTGTAAAATCCAACAACTTTAATGGAACCCTACGATGTACTATCCGAGAATTGTGCTATCATGTGGGAATGCATTGAATATTCTTGTCTCTGATGCACTTATATTTGAAGGAAGACTAGTGTGAGTTTACCTATGGAATTAGGATCGAAGTCGTAAATGAAGTTACAGCTGATGTACATTTGCCAACAGTTACGAACACGTGGATTCATTTGCACAAGCCTTTTTCTGTTATGTGTTTGTGATCTTAGTTGTAATGTGTTTCTTGACAGTTTAGGCGCATAGCAAACATTTACTTTCTTGGGATTTCATGTCTATCGATGACACCAATAAGGTATGCTAACTCCATTGGACATTTTTAATTTTTACGATATTTTGAAGTTGCCTCGTGTTATTTGACATTCTGTCCGTAGAACACCCTTGTTCTGGTTGGATGAAATTTGACTGATTAGATATGCATGATTTATGCGGCCATTAACTAGATAGATTGTTTTTCCTGCAGCCCTGTGAGTCCAATAACAAATGTAGCTCCACTCTCCATGGTGCTTCTCGTCTCTCTTATTAAGGAGGCTTTCGAAGACTGGGTAAGGGATTATTGTTTGTTCTTCTTTTGTTTTAATTGCAGTTTCTCCTTGCTTTAGAATAGAATTATTTCAGCGCTGGAATAGTATGTTCAAGTTAGTAAAGACCCATCTGTGTCACAACCTCTAAATTCTTCTGTGGATAACTTGGTGCAGAAACGGTTTCAAAATGACATGTCCATAAATAATAGCAAAGTGGAGATCTTACAAGATCAACAGTGGGTAGCTATTCCCTGGAGAAAGTTGCAAGTTGGAGATGTTGTCAAGGTTAGTCCTTTATTGCTCTAACATGATTAGACGAATTGCTCTTTAGGTACCCGTTTTATTTATTGTTGGGTGTATTTCAGTGCGTTGTTGGCACACATGTACATGTATAGTTGTTTGTACGGCGTGCATTTATATTTTAGTTACATTGTGTAAATTTATATGTGTCATTATGCTGCTATCAACTGTGGTAACTTATTCCCTGCTATCTCCGGAATGGAAGGTTTCTATGACTTCTTGACATACAGTCTAATAGTTTATACTGGTTTCTCCCCTTTAATAGAGTTATTATACTAACAAATATGATTCTTTGCTGGCCTCTAGCAAAGGACACTGTGTTTAAGAAATTTGTTTGAGTTGACTACATTTAAGGATTCTCAATGGGGAGGGAGACTGTCAGTTAAGATGGACAAATAGTTTTACAAATAAATATGCCTTATTAACAGTTACCACTCTGGTTCACCAAGATTTTTAATTAGATTTGATTAATAAAAGCCTCACTCCTCGAATCCAATCCAAATATCCACCAAATTATCGACCGCCTAAATTTGCTAAACTACCAGCTGAGCTGGCTAATACTTACAGTACTCATTACAGTATTAAAAAAATTAGGTAAAGAAACATTACGCAACCACAGCCCTGGCTGCTCTTGAAATTTTGCTTTTACCCTGGTTGAGACATTGCGCTCGTCTACACCATCTTGATATCTTTTGTTCCTTCACACGTAGACCCGCCAATGCCTACTATGATCGTGGAATTAACAGTGATGTGCCTTCTTTTGCATTGAAGCAGGATTTCAGAATCTTGTTAATTTTGTAAAACTGTATCTTGATTTTGCAGATAAAAAAAGATGGTTTTTTTCCAGCAGATATTCTTTTTCTGTCCAGCACTAACCCAGATGGTATCTGCTACGTTGAGGTGCTTCTTATTTGACAGACCCTTTCAAAATTTATATTGCTCTCTTTTGTCCAGGACAAAAGCTGCTATTCAAGAACGTCCTCTTACCTAGTGTACCGTCCATTTGCGTATTTCTTGTGAGTGCAGACTGCAAATCTAGATGGAGAAACAAATTTAAAAATAAGAAAGGCCCTTGAAAGGACATGGGATTATCTGTTACCAGAGAAAGCTTCTGAGTTTAAAGGTTAGCCTATGGCTTTGATTGTTATCATCATGCAAGATTTTTTTGTAGATGGATATGAACCTGTTGCAGTGATATTGTACGTACTTCGCTATGAACTAGTTTGCGAATAAAGCTAGTGGTTTCTAGCGATTTGGCATTGATTGTAGAAACACTTGGCAGTATCTATTATCATATATTGGATCATTAATTGAATAAATGAATGAACCTGTCTGGAAAAGTTTCACTTGGGTCAGGTCACTTTTTAAAGTTACCCTGCAAACTCCTTGCCTTTTCTTATATCACATTCTGATGTACGGATTGAAGGACCACCAAAACTAATGGCAGCAGAGTCTTATATAGCTGTTGAATTATTATTTGTTTAGTGTTTGTCTGGCTCTTGTAAATAGAGGTTATTGTCAAATTTCTAGTAGACCTTTTCTAATATTATTTTGCTGACAGAGTTATAGCTCATTTCCCTGACTGATGATACACGCTCTTGTCTCTTATCCATTTTCTTCTGCTAATATATGTAGATGTAATTTTATTTGTCCTGACGGGCCTTCATTTTATTCAACTTCTTTTTTTTCATTTCTGTATGATAGTGTTGTAACTGTCTAACACATGTCTTTACTTCTCCAACATCTCTTTCTTTTACCATGCAGGTGAAATTCAGTGTGAGCAACCGAACAATTCTCTGTACACTTTCACCGGGAATCTTATAGTGCAAAAGCAGACACTACCTCTCTCTCCAGACCAGCTATTATTGCGAGTATGATCGACTGTTTCTGCTGTCGGCTGCGTTTTCCTTTTCTGCCTTATTTTTACAGTTTCATGATTTGGTCATGGATGTTTCTTCTTTGTGTTGGATAACGTTGATCCACTTTTGAGATATCTTGAATTTTTGTTGGCAACTTTATATCCTTGGATTAATAAAAGTATTGGATTCAATAATATTCTGAGCCTTTTGGCATCTACATTTTCAGGGATGCAGTCTTAGGAACACAGAATACATAGTTGGGGCTGTAGTTTTTACTGGCCATGAGACAAAGGTAAACTTTTGTTAACTTGGTATATGAGAAACTAGCTTTGCAACATGTGTTTCTAGCTTACAGGATTCATGTATTCTAAAACCATTCTATGGTTTCTACTTCATGATATAGTTGCTATGCATACAATTTGATGCTATTCTATGGTGACTTCTACATATGTAGGTGATGATGAATGCCATGAATGCTCCTTCCAAAAGAAGTACGCTGGAAAAAAAGCTCGACAAACTCATTATTACAATATTTTGTGTCCTTGTCACAATGTGTCTTATTGGAGCTATAGGCTGGTGTGGTTACTCGCCAATCTTGTGAATTATCAAGTCCGGCTTCGATTGTTGCGATACGCTAATCTATATCTGTTAATTTTGTAGTTCAATTGTGACGGATCGTGAGGACTATTACTTGGGTCTACTACAGAAGCCAGATTGGGAATACCGTAATGGATTCGTGGTAAATAGTTTTGTGTAGTTGCAAGTTGATTTCTGTCTATTTCTGGATTGCTGGTTTTACGAAATTGCTTCTGTTTGTTGCCACAGATAGGGTTCTTCACCTTTTTCACTCTAGTCACTCTGTTCTCGTCAATTATTCCAATCTCCCTTTATGTTTCTATTGAGGTACGTCTATTTCTAGTATCCTATTATAATTATCTGAAATACAAGGGCCCACAATTTGAATGATTTCTATCTTCTCTCCCAAAACGAAACCCAGATGATCAAGTTTATCCAGTCGACTCAGTTTATCAACCGAGATCTCAATATGTATCATGCTGAGACAAATACCCCTGCCTCGGCTAGGACTTCCAATTTAAACGAGGAGCTTGGACAGGTAGCTATCAGTCCATGTTGCATATTACCACCACTGATCCATATGACAAATTGTTGCTAGTTTGATATAAATTTCCGTTTTATTGCTAGTATTTTAACTGGTGCTAGATTATTAGTTCTTTGATATACTATGATATTGTTCTCACTGCTGTTGAAATTACTATGATATCTCTCAGGTGGAATACATATTTTCTGATAAAACTGGAACGCTGACGAGAAATTTGATGGAGTTCTTTAAATGTTCAATTGGAGGAATAAGTTATGGATGTGGTGTCACTGAAATAGAAAGAGGAATCGCTGAGCGTCATGGCTTAAAAGTTCAAGAGGTATTATTTCTTTTCAGATGGGGAAGTTGCTTAATGCATTCTGGTTTGATGGAAGCATGTCTAATTTGCACCGCTACAAATATTCTCAGGAGGAAAGATCGACTGGTGCAATAAGAGAAAAGGGATTTAATTTTGATGACCCAAGGCTAATGCGGGGAGCTTGGAGAAACGAACCTAATCCTGATCTTTGCAAGGTGCCTGACTTTCATTCTCTTTTTGGCTCACAATAAGTTTACCAATTGTAGTAGCTAAGTGGTGATAGGGTTATAGGGCTAATCTAAAAAAGATTTATTAATTCCTTCCATGATAAAGTGTGGTCTAGGTGTGTTTGATAGGTGTTGAGATGTGAACTTGTAAGTTATAACTCGAAAAGGTTCTTTTGTTTTAGTCCAGGTCTTCTTTTTGCGAGTCTTGTACTAAAAAGTACAGAATGGTTCTGACTATAAAATATTATAATGACATTTTCGTGGATTAGAGTAGTTCAATAGTGTTGGGTTCCAGATTCTTCTGTGTCTATTTCTGGGCATGTACATGCAGATGCTCATTTAACTTAGGTATTGTACTTTTGATATATGTAGGAACTTTTTAGATGCCTAGCCATCTGTCACACAGTCCTTCCTGAAGGTGATGAGTCCCCTGAGAAGATCGTGTATCAAGCTGCATCTCCAGATGAAGCTGCCCTAGTTACTGCCGCCAAGAATTTTGGTTTCTTCTTTTACAGGTAATTCTCATTACAAGTTGAAATGGCACGCAATCTAACAAGACAAAATGTGCAACTAGTAAATTTATCCCCTTGATCCTAGTATTAAATTTTAGATTTGCTTCCATAGGCGCTTTTGTTTCTCAAGTTTCTATTAGTTCGTTTGAGACTAGTTTCTTGTATTTTCAGGCGTACTCCAACTATGGTGTATGTTCGTGAGTCTCACGTGGAGAAAATGGGAAAGATTCAAGATGTGGCCTATGAGATCCTAAATGTTCTCGAGTTCAACAGGTCTATATGATAGTGAAATGTCTGTTTATTTTCTCTGTGTCGTGACTTAAGCTTACTAATGAAATTTTACACAATGCATAACAGTACAAGGAAGCGCCAGTCTGTCGTATGTCGTTTCCCAGATGGAAGGCTTGTACTCTACTGTAAGGTAGTGGTAGTTCTTAAGCAACTGCTTCTCTGTGTACTTCCAGGTTAAATCTTGATCAGTACTTGGAACTTTGTCCGCAGGGTGCTGATACTGTCATCTTTGAGAGATTGGCTGATGGTATGGACGATATTAGGAAAGTAACAAGAGAACATTTGGAACATTTTGGATCTTCTGGATTGCGTACCCTTTGTCTGGCCTATAGAGATTTAAACCCCGAAACTTATGATAGTTGGAATGAAAAATTCATCCAGGCCAAATCTGCATTACGAGACCGTGAAAAGAAGTTAGACGAGGTAAACCATTATTTCTTACCTATTTTCTTTTCAATAAACGACTTAGAAGAAAATTCCAGAGGTTGAAAATGGCTTCCAGGAGCAATAAAACTTGTTTGTATAACAGGAACGAAAATTATTATATGATTATGTCCTTAATTAGTGAGATGATTGTATACTTAAGCACAGTTTTTGAGTCGCCAGGAAATAGTTGATAATTATAGCTGATGAGTATGAGGTATCTTGATCCATGAAGGTGGCAGAACTTATTGAGAAGGATCTTATCCTCATCGGTTCGACTGCAATTGAAGACAAACTTCAGGAAGGGGTGCCTAACTGCATAGAGACCTTATCAAGAGCTGGAATTAAGATCTGGGTGTTAACAGGGGACAAAATGGAAACGGCTATCAATATTGCATATGGTAGGACGTGGCACAAACTGATGCGCTTGGATCTTACTTATTCTTCTCCCTTTTAAATATCTAATCTTTGATTTTATTATGCTACAGCATGCAACTTGATCAACAATGATATGAAACAATTTATTATTAGTTCTGAAACGGATGCAATCAGGGAAGCTGAAGAAAGGGTAATTGTTTTACTCTGAAGAAAGGGTAGTTGTTTTACTGTGCAATCATTTTTTTTTTATTAACGTAATCTTTTATATTAGGGTGATCAAGTTGAGATTGCTCGTGTTATCAAAGAAGAAGTGAAGAAGGGGCTGAGAAAGAGCCTTGAAGAAGCTCAGCACTCTCTGCATACCGTAGCTGGACCAAAATTGGCACTCGTTATTGATGGAAAATGTTTAATGTATGCATTAGACCCGACTTTACGTGTGACGCTGCTCAGCTTGAGTTTGAACTGTACTTCAGTTGTATGCTGTCGTGTTTCTCCGTTACAGAAAGCACAGGTAAATTTCAGAAGACTAATTTCAAATAAATTACTACAGGGTTTGAAGGAACTTATGTATTATTGTTCTGGGGATATGGTTACGCAAATTGTAATCACATATTTTCTTGGGTTTAAATTCTGGCACGTAATTCATATCCAATGAGTAATTTGGTTCTATGTGTTCTTTGAACCGACTTCTTAATTCTAATATATGTAAATCTGATCCAGGTGACAAGCTTGGTGAGGAAAGGGGCTAAAAAGATTACACTTAGTATTGGTGATGGTGCCAATGATGTTAGCATGATTCAAGCCGCTCATGTTGGTATAGGAATAAGTGGGATGGAGGGAATGCAAGCTGTGATGGCTAGTGATTTTGCCATTGCTCAGTTCAGATTTCTTACAGATTTGCTTCTTGTCCATGGACGGTGGTCATATCTTAGAATCTGCAAGGTTAAATTTGTCTTTTGCCACATAACATGCTTTGAATTTTTGAAAATTCTAATGATCTTTTGCTTGGCAGGTTGTTATGTATTTCTTCTACAAAAATCTTACCTTCACTTTGACCCAGTTTTGGTTCACATTTCGAACTGGGTTTTCTGGTCAAAGGTTCTATGATGATTGGTTCCAGTCATTGTATAACGTTGTATTTACAGCTCTTCCTGTCATTGTCCTGGGGCTATTTGAGAAGGTACTAGCTTTTCTCGATCTCTACTTGATACAAAACAGTATCCATCTTTAACTTACTAAATTTCATTTCTATGTTGTGGTCTTGGTAGGATGTGAGTGCGTCCCTTTCGAAGAGATACCCAGAACTGTATAGAGAGGGAATACGCAACTCATTTTTCAAATGGAGAGTCGTAGCAGTATGGGCTTCATCTGCTGTGTATCAGTCACTTGTCTGCTACCTCTTCGTGACCGCCTCATCTTTTGGTGCTATAAATTCATCAGGCAAAATATTTGGTCTCTGGGATGTTAGCACAATGGTCTTCACATGTCTCGTCATCGCCGTGAATGTGCGCATCCTTTTGATGAGCAATTCCATTACCAGATGGCATTATATCACAGTCGGTGGAAGCATCCTTGCATGGCTCGTTTTCGCTTTCATATACTGCGGGATCACAACACCACGTGATAGAAATGTAAGCGAGTATATATCTTTTGGTTTTCTGATGTTAGTTTTTGTTCATAACTTTGGCAAATCTGATTTCTAGTCTTTTTCACGTCTTTGCAGGAAAATGTTTACTTTGTCATATATGTCCTGATGAGTACATTCTATTTCTACTTCACATTGCTGCTTGTTCCCATTGTCTCTCTTCTAGGCGATTTCATCTTCCAAGGGTAAGTAAAACCCGCATGTGGTGTTATTAAACATACACGAGACGTTTTGTAAGGATTATTACATGAGAAGAATTTGTGTTTGTACTAATGCAGGGTTGAGAGATGGTTCTTCCCATATGATTATCAGATCGTTCAAGAAATACATAGGCACGAGTCAGATGCAAGCAAGGCAGATCACCTAGAGATTGAGAACGAGCTTACACCCCAAGAGGCGAGAAGCTATGCGATATCACAATTGCCTCGGGAGCTCTCAAAGCACACTGGTTTTGCATTTGATTCACCAGGTTATGAATCTTTCTTTGCGTCTCAGTTAGGTGTTTACGCTCCACAGAAGGCGTGGGATGTGGCAAGGAGAGCCAGTATGAGGTCGAGGCCAAAGGTACCGAAGAAGAAGTAAAAAGCAATATATATGATATAATATTATTGCTAATTGTCTTTGTACATTTAGGCAATTTCATCCAATTGGGAGGGTTTTTTTTTGTTAGGGCTTTAGATTTAAAAATATATGTAGAAATGTGAACCTCTTAGATGGTTTACTAGTGATCGGTTTGTGTTTTGCTTTAAATGCCATTTTTTTATAGCTCCATTTATGAACTTACGTGGAGAGGCAAGCTTTAGGATTCCATTACTTCTTCCCCATGTACATAAATTTGATTTGATTACACTTTTGAGGTATCTTTTGTTCTTTTTTATTTTATAGAAATTCACATTTTCCCGTATTCCTATATATTAAATTCTCTTTTAATTTGGAGAAATTGCATTTTCTAAGAATTGAACTCCGAAGAACCTCTACTACCTCTTGTTGTAAAATCATTAATAAACTATTTTCAATCATTAGACTAAGAGAGCTTCGACAATAATATGTTATTCAAATTTCATTTCAAAATAACAAATTCATATAATAATATATATTAATAACTCATAATTTTACTTTTATTTTCAGAACAAATGGCATTTTAAAGTGATACTAACTTATACTTTAAACTTTGAAGGTTTTTAAGTAATATTTTAAATCTTCAAACTAATTTTTTAACACATTAAATGGAGCGATTAGCTCAAATAACAGAATAAGTTTTCCAGCACTACATAGTGGTTTTCTGATTACGAAAATCAAAAAATCCGATTGAAATTAATAAATCATATTCAAAAACTATTTATATTTTCCAAAAATCTCAAAACTCACAACCATGAAATCTCAAAACTTATATTTTATCCATCGACTGAATATGCAATCTATCTTATTTTGATTCCAATGCATCTGTAAATCGGTTAATTAGAATTGTGTTCTTATTTTTGTTATTGGAGAAGCACTATACTATGACCGGAAAATGTATTTCGTTATTTGAACTAACCACTCTGTTAAAAAAAGATATATGATGCAACCAAAGAAATTAGATTTATGGTGTTTGTGAGCAAATTTCGAGATGCTACGTGGGGGTGTGTTATTCGTTCAGGGAGCGGAGCCGTGTCTCCGAGTTTCATCCATTGGGGGAAAAGGCGACGAGACGTACCAAAGAGGAAACTGGTTCGGTCCCCATCAGTGGGGCAGTTGATAAGTCCAGCCCTGCAAACACTACATAAAAGGTCAATCAGACCTTCGGGGTCTCCCTCCCGAAGGTTTTTTATTTCTTAAAATATGGAAATAATTTTAATTTCTAGTAACTAATTTAATTTATTATACCAATGAAATTATCGAATTATTTGTGATTGGTTTGATATAACTTTAGTTTAATTTAAGTGATTAAAAATAAAGTGTTTGGTAATAATGATAGCACACAAAAATAAATCAATAAAAAAATTTAGAAAAAGAGATAATGGACACATAAGCCTATAATTTTTTCTGTTTAATATATGTTAGATATTGTTGTTCGACAAATTATATCATTACCTAAAGTTGTAAAGTGTTAACAGAAGTTAACGTCTTTGTTAACAATCAAACATGTATAGTAATAAAATTGAAATAAATAGCCTTTTATACCAAAGGGATATAATGGTCCAAAAAGTTAGTTTGTTAATGTTTTACTTTTTTCATAAAAGTTACTTTCCCAAATTTATTGGTCAAACAATGTAGATATGCAAGAGACCCAACTTAATATTCAGTTTGTTGGGCCGAGAATTCGTTGAAAGCTGAGAAAGAGCTCACGAGTTAAGCCTATGAGATACAATCACCACAGAAATCCAAGAAGCATTAAATGTAACCCAGTTACAACACACGTCCATAATGTTGATGGTTAGTCCGAGCTAGGAGCAGGTGAGCGACGCCCACTTTCGGTGGCGTGCGAACATGGGACTAGCTCGCAACCATTACTTAGTAGAACCCACTGAATAGTTCAACAGACAATAGCAGGCATCCAACCCACTGGTCCGGCCCAGCCCGGCTTAGTCCAAAACCCGTAAAGCCCGCATATATTTAAGTTCGGCCCAAACAGAATTATCGGATTTTTTCAGATTTTTTAGAAAAATATAATAAATTTTAAACATAAAACAAATTAAAAGAAAAAGTAGTTATTAGAATTAAATCTAAATTTAAATAATCATAATTATAGTTTTAACAAATTTGAAAGCAAAACTTTAATTTAGTAAATCCATATAAATTCTAATATCAAATATAATTAAATAAATAGGTAATGTAAATAGTAGAAATGGTATAATCGAGATGAGAATCTTCAGGTTAAATAGGACAGTTTCTTGAAACTAGTTAAGTTTAAGGTTTCATGTTTATATGAAGGTACACAACTAAAAATTAAAGTTTTAAATTAATAAAGAGTATTATAAAAAAATTAATAACTTTAATTTGTTAATAATTTTTTAAAAATAAATTATAATATAAAGTACAATACTTTTCGGGTAAGCCCGAATGGATTTAGCCCAAAAAACCTAATTGTTTAGGTTTTTATACCAAGCCCAAACGTAGTATTTTTCATGGTCGGGCCAGACCAGACTTTGACCTAAATTGACATCCCTAACCATAAGGAACTGGTTTGTGACCCCATCCGATTCGTAACAAAATATTTTCTATAAATATATTTTTCACATTAATAATGACGAGAGAAGAAATTCTAGAGAGATAAAAGCTACAACTGGTGACCAATAAAAAAGAAAGTGAAATGAAAAGAATAAAATAAAAAAATAAGAATAAAATACACATAAAGAAATAAATAAATATATTTTATTTCTCTTCAAATTGTATAAGAAATACATTTATTATATAATTTCATATTTGATAAGGAATAAAAATGAGTGTTAGGAAAACAATATTCCTAGCAAATGATAAATGTTTTAAGAAATAAAGAGAAATTTATTATCCCTCCTCATTCCCTTGATCATTAGTTGAAGCTAAAGTTCATCATCCAGCATGCTTAATACTTAACTCTTTCACTCCAAAGCTCTGTCGTGCCTTAGTTATGACCTGAACATCGAAGAATAATTGAGAGGACAACTTCTTCCCATTCCATCACATCTGCGCTGTTCCATCTTTCTCTCCAAAGTTTGAACATATGCATTAGACCCAGTCACTGGTCGACATATTCACATAAGCATCCGTAAATTGCTTCCGAATACAGGTAGTTATCAACTAACATATTTACAAATTTTAATTTAAAATATATTATTTATAGAGAGCTTTGTATTGCTTAGGAATCTGAAGAACATACGTTTGTCTTCATACATTTTCGAAGTGATAAAAGCGTGTGATGGTCTCTTCTCTCAAAGAAAATAATTGGTGTATAATTTCGTAAGATTTCATGTTTAAAAAGCCAAAAACCGAAAATAACTCATTTGAGATAATATTTTCTCCATTTTTGATCTATACAAATTGAACCCAGAACTTCTTAGTGTAAAATCACTAATGATTCTTTGTCAACCACTGGACTAAAATGCTTTCACAATAATATGTTATCTGAATCTCATATATAAAAACACAAATTCATACAATAATATATCAGTCTCTCATAATTTTACTTTTACTTTGTTAACATAATTTTATAATTTTAGTTTCAGATGCTTATATTTGGACTACAGTATTGAGTATACAAAAAGATATATAAACTTTAACTTAATTTTGAAATCATATTCAACTTTAATATTTTAATTTTGAAGCAATCGTTTTATTTTATCATAAATAGTTAAAATAATTTATTTGTGAGTCATCGAATCTTGTGAATCTTTACAGTATCCTAAACTTTATGTTCAACTACTTGTTAATTTATATACAAATTTTTATTTATTTTCTGTTAAAATACATTATTTATTGGAAATTTTATAAATGTATTACAATGGACACATATCAATTATTGTTTATGAGTTGAAAGATTCAATATTTTAATTTAAAGCAACTGTTTTTTCTCATAGATAGTAAAACTATTTTGGTTGTGAGTTGTTGAATTTTGTAAATCGTTAGATTATGTAAAAATTTATATTTAGTTAGTTGTCAACTTAATTACAACTTTTAATTTATTTAATAGAAAAATATATTAATTATACGGAGCTTTGTAAACGTACCACAAAACCCAATTATTGTATAAGAATCTGAAGAACATACAATTTTCAAGTTACAAAAGCTTGTGATGGTCTCTTTCCTTAATCTTAATAATCGGTGTAAGATCTTATAATAATTTCAGGTTATTTCATATATTATTGCAAGTTTAAGATGCCAAAAGACTGAGAACACATTCGAGGTCATCTTTTCTCTATTTTTATTTTATACAAGCTATCAAATTTAATATTTTCCATATTTCTATTTCTAAATAAATCAATTTGAATCGCCTCTATTATAATTTGGAGAAGTTGCATCTTTTGGGATTCAACCCCGAACCTGCCGGAGTAGAATTATTAATAGAGAGCTTCCATATGTTATTTAAATTATATATATATATATATATATAAGACAAATTCATTCAATAATATATCACTCTCTCATAATTTTTTTTTTTTACTTTGCTGACAGAAACTTCTAATTTTACCTTTATATTTTTTTGATGTTAGTAAAAACATTTATGTTTAAGAATATAAATATGAGCCGAATGAAACTCAATTGCTTATTTTTGAACTATTTAGTATATTGGGAAAGAAATATGAACTTTAACTTAGTTTCAATCCGTGTTGTACTGACTATATATTTAAGAATATACTGGCAGTCTCTATTCAAAAATGTTCCACTTCCTTCAGAAACCTCATGTTCCAAACGCCCAGATACCAAAAGCTCAACTACTTCAGAAGTTGGAAACAATTTAGAAAAACCAAGAACAAAGACTTTTTTTTGGGGGGGGGGGGGGGGGGGAGACAAGATGTTTCTTTAGCTAGAAATTAAACAGCTTGACCGATAAAAAACTTTGATTCATATTTTGTAAACAGTTAGATTATGTCAAAGTTTATATTTATTTAGTTGTTAATTTATTTACAAATGTTAATTTACTTACTTTGAAATACCTTATTTATAGGGAACTTTGTAAACATACCATGAATATCAATTATGTATTGTTTGTGGAGAACCTTTACAAAGAAATAGAAAAATATATTAATTATACGGAACTTTATAATTTAAGGCAACTATTTTATTTTAAAAAGAATATTTAAAATATTTTGTTTGTCAATCGTCGAATTGTTTGAACTGTTAAAGTACCATAAATGTTATATTCAATAAGTTGTTAACTTATTTATGAATTTTCATTTATTTTCTAGAAAAGTATATTATTTCTAAGGAGCTTTGTTGACGCGACACAAATATCAAATATTGTTTATGAATCTGAAGAACATACCTTCATCAAGTAACAAAAGTTTTGTGATGACCTTCTCTTAATCACGATAATGATCTAAGATCTCAAAATAATTTCAGGTTTAAGAAGCTAAAAACATGAGAATAACACTTTTGAGGTCATATTTTCTCCCTTTTGATTTCTATACAAGCTATAGAATTTAATATTTTCTTATATTTTTATTTTAATAAACCATTTTATATTGCCACTATTATTTTGGAGAACCTTAGTGTAATTTAACGCCGAACCTTAGTTTAATTATTATGAATGAACCATTTGTAAAGTATTAGACTTATAGAACTTCCACAATAATATGTTTTTCAAATCTCATATTTTAAAAGCAAATTCATACAATAATATAATAGTCTACCATAATTTTATTTTTACTCTGTTAACATAGTTTTATTTTCATATGTTTTGATGTTGTTTAAAACTATTATATTTAATATATATAAAAAATATATTTAGTATACATGAAAAAATGTATATACTTTAATTTAGTTTCAAACAATATCGTATTCAATTTCATTTTATTAATTTAAGGTAACAAATTTATTTTTTCATAAATAGTTTAAATATTTTGTTGTCAAATCTTAAATTTTATGAAGCAAAATTTATATTCAATTATTTGTCAATTTATTTACAAATTTTAATTTATTTTTTATTAAAGTACATTATCTATAGATATTTTTATAAATGTATTACAAATATTGTTTATAAATCGAAAGATTTAATATTTTGATTGAAAGCAACCGTTTTGAACTTTCTTCAATAAGATACTTCTAAAAATGTTGGGGAACACAGAATCAAAAGTGGCGACTATTAGTGTCATTATATATACCAAATGTGATAATGGTTGGAACGTTTGAAGAAGACTGCTTTACTATGCCCTTTTTATAATAATAAAAAAAGACTGCTTTACAATAATGGGGAATTATACGAAGTAGCCTTCAATTTGGTGTTAATATGCATAAGTAACCCCCTCACTAAACATTTGTCCCTTACATAATTACGGTTTAATCCTTTTAAGTTTTAATATATGTTAATGGCAAAATGTAGATAAAGGCTAACCTCACCGTTACTTCAAAGGTTTTGCTGTTATGCACTTCTGGTCGATCTAAAGCATTCAATTTGACTTTAATAAGACTGTGACTATTATGAAACACTAACAAATAGACAAGATTTATATATTAAAATATATATAAATAAATAAATAAAAGTTTACGTAAATATTTAAAGTTTTTAGAATTAAGAAATCAAAATTTTATATGAATTTAGATTTAGAATTATATTTAAATTTGAGTTCACCTATCTTTGGTTAAGGTTTAGGTTTTAGATTTAATGATTTAGAGTTTAGGATTATGGATTTTGGTGTTTAGATTTAGAATTGTATTTTAGTTTGGGTTCACTCTATCTTTGTTAGGGTTTTAGGGTTTATATTTTATAACTTTGGGTTCACCAATCCTTAGGAAGGATTTAGGATTTAGATTTTGAGGATTTTGGGTAGATTGGGTTCAGGCATCTTTGATTAGGGTTTTAGAATTTAGATTTAATAAATTTGGGTTCACCAATCCTTAGGAAGGATTTAGGGTTTATATTTTGAAATTTTTGGGTATAGCTTTTAGGGTTCAGGATTTCAAATTTGGGGTTTAGGGTTTATATTTTGAGTTTATGGTTTAGGATTTTTTATATGGATTCAGCGATCTTTGACTAGGGTTTAATGTGTATAGTTTAGATTTTAGTGTTTAGAATTTATATTATGGTTTATATTATGACTTGTTATAAATCTTAGTATTTTATATTTTTTTTAAAAATGTATATCCATAAATTTTACTAAGTTTCTGGTAGTTACAACATGTTCACGTCTCAGCTAACAGTCAAAACATGTACGATAATAAATGTCTCTATTAACTGCTAAATATACACACTAATATAATTGAAAAGGCTAACATTTTTTTGTCTAGAGGATAAAATAATCCGAAAATGTTAGTTTGTTAATGACTTTGTTGTGAGCGTTACTTTTCCATATATTTCTTTTTCTATATATTTTCATTTGAAGATGTTACTTTTGCAAGAACTCCTATAATAATTTGGTATTGAATTGGATAATTCAAACAAATAAAAGTAATGAAAATTAACTAAAATGATAAGAGAAACTTTATATAATAAAGTGAGTTTTCTATTACAAACCTTCATTAGTCTATCAACAATAACAAAAATGATGGTTTTTTGTGCGTCTGTTATCAAATTCCATTAAGAAACACAAAAAATAAAACAAAAAGACAAATCTACAGTGATGATACATCAACAAACAAATTTAGCGAACTTTATATTTAAATAGTTGTCAATTTTCTTTTTTTACATTTTAATATATGTTCTTTTCTAAGATCTTTTCAATGTGTGATGGTCTCTTCATTCGATTTCCATAATTGGTCTACACCCTTATAATAAATTATGGTAATTTTATATGATTTCAAGTTTAAGAAGCCACAAAACAAAAAATGACACCTTTGAGGTTATTTTTTTATCTTTTTTTTTTATTCTAAAAAGGATATAAAATTTCATATTTTCTCATAGTTCTGTTTTTAAATAAATCAATTTAAATATCGAAACATTGCACCTTTTAAGAATTAAATCCCCAAACCTACTAGTGTAAAATCATTAATGATCATTTTATCAACTACTAGACTAAGTGAGCTTTCACGATAATATGCTATTTAAATCTCATATATATAGAAAACATTTACAGTAAAATATCAGTCTAATTTTACTTTTACTTTCAAAAAATAATTTATATATTTATTTTCATATGTTTTGTTGTTGTTAAAAAATTATATTTCAGAATATAAATCTGAACAGAAAAAAACCCCAATTGCTTATTTTTTGGAATGAAAAGATATATAAAATTAAATTTAGTTTCCAACAATGTCCAATTCAACTTCAATATTTTAATTTAAGGTAATCATTTTATTTTTTTCCATAAATAATTAAAATATTTTGTTTGTTAGTCTGTTAATTTTAAGAAGCGTAGAAACCTCAGAAAGTTGAGAACAGTTTAAAAACCCTAAGAATAAAGACATATTTTACGGACAAAATGTTTTTCTGGCTAGATATATTAAATAGTTCTGTCGATAAAAAACTTTAAATCATATTTTGTAAACCGTTAGATTATATCAGACGTTATATTCAATTAGTTGTCAATTTATTTACAAATTTTAAATCTAGTTATTAAATGACTTTATTTATGTGGAGCTTTTGCAAATGTACCACAAATATCAATTAGAGTTAACTGACTTATATATACAAAATCGTTCCTGAAAGTTCTAGGGCTCTCCTTACGCGGTGTTCAATTTTTGCTTCCGTTCTGATACAGTTTTTCCGGTGATTTTTTTCACCAAATTCTGATGGATAAAGATCTTTGGCGCTCTCTACAGAAGCTTTTTATAGGCTCTGAGTAAAGTCCTCTCCAAATTTCTTCTGATTCTTGTTGGAAGAGTGATTTAGAGAAAAAGCTCAATCTTTTTGTCAGAGGCTTAAATCCCCAACACCAACCGCTGTCTGCGATGCATCTTACCCTTCCTAAAGCTTGGCGATTAGACGGCAAGGTTGATGCTAGATTACAAGATGATGGAATCATCCAATTTATTTTCAGGGCAGAGCATAACCTTCTTACAGTCATCGAAAATGGTCCTTGGTCTTATTAAGGAGTGGATGGTAACGATGGATCGATGGAATCGATGCTACTTTCCTAATTTCCTCAAGCGAATTACCTTCTGGGTTCAAATCTTTGCGCTACCTAATGAATATCGGAATCACCATACCATTCAGGATATCGGGAGTTGTTTTGGTCAACTTGAAGAAATTAGTATTCATGAACCTAGCCGTGATAAGGATGCTGAAATCTGGATACAAATCACGTTTGATGCTTATCGTTTGCATGTTTTCTCGCGCTATGTTGAATTCGAAGCTGGAGTGGATCCTATTCTCATTCGGTTTGAATATGAAAAGCTCCTTTCCGTTGTGGTGCTTTAACCCATGATTTTCTGTTATGCGACCAACAGTTACTCGATGCCACTCTTCCGCATACAGTTACTCCTCAGCAACAAGATTTCGAGAATCCTGCTCCTACAGTTGACGCAGACCCACTACAGTTTGCTGCACTAATTTCTCAGGCAAATCAGAATTTGGATATCATGGGTGAGCATATCCAGGATCTTCAGGATCAGAATCAATCCATGGAAAATGTTTGAGAGAATCAAGTTAATGGCTCCCTTCAGCTGCAGGATCCTGGTTCTCAACATAATTCCGTCAATATGCCAGATATCAACAGGGAATCTGATCCACCTCCAATCCGTGAATTGGGATCTACTTCTCGTGCATTTGGGGGTACTAAGCATAAAATATCTATAGCACTTGCACAAGATCAGGTTTCAGCAACAAGGCAGAAAGTTTCGGGACAATTCAAGGAACCGGTGGCTCCGGCGAAGGAGCCGCCGAAAACCCAATGAAGATTATGCATTAGAATTGCCAGGGGATGAGGAACCTTCTGACAATTCATTATCTTCATGATATTAGGAAATTTTATACTCCTGATATCATGTTCCTCATAGAAACTATGAACGGCTATGACTATGTGTCTAATATCGGCAATCAACTCGACTATACCGATTATTTTGTTATACCTTCTGATGGGGTTAAAGGTGGCTTAGCAGTTTTCTGGCTTGATGAAGTTAGACTCCGTTTTCTTCAACCTCCATCACTGTATCATACTGACATGTCCATATCCGATAGAGCAATTACCTTCTATCTTACATATGTTTATGGTAACCCTCGTACTGGTCAATGGCGGAGAATGATTGATCATATTGAGGCTGGTCTCTACAGAAACAAGCCACGCTTGGTTCTAGGAGACTTCAACTACATTCAAGGCAATTATGAAAAAATAGGAGGACCAAGACGTTCTGAATCTTCTTTTGCACTCTTTCGGACTATGCTATCTATCTCTGGATTACATGAAGTTAAAACTTATGGAGGTAAATTCACCTGGTTTGGCAGACGACATCATCATCTGGTGAAGTCCAAGATTGACAGAATCGATGCTACATCTGATTGGAAAGATACATACCCCAAGGCATATGTTAACGTTTTACCTTGGCAAGGCTCTGATCATCGGCCTCTCCTTTTATTTACGGAGGATCGTAAATGGAAGGGTCATAAACTTTTCCGCTATGATCATCGTTGGGCTCAAAATACAAAGGTTAAGCTCGCATTACAAAACACTTGAGATCCAGCTTGCAAAGATCTCCCCCCGGAGAAGTTTAGCACAGTCTTTCATAAATATCGTACAAGTTTGGCAAGATGTAAGTCATGTCATGCCTCTAATTCCTCTATCAAAATAAGTAACTTGCAGCAGCTCCAAGCCTATGATTTGTACCCTTTGGATTTTCATTATATTGGTGATCTCAAATCTCAATTACTATACCAATATAGGCTGGAAGAAGAATACTGACGTACTAAAAGTCGAATTCAATGGCTGCAAGCAGGTGATCGTAACACAAGGTATTTTCATGAAAAAAATATACAACGGCGAAGTTATAATCGGATTACATCTATTAAGAATCATCGGGGGCAGCTTCTCCACTCTGAACAGAGTATAAACGGTCTAATCCAAGACTATTTTACTAACATCTACACCTTTGAATGCAGTTTGCGACCAGAACAGGAAGTCCTCCTCTCTGACATACAGCCGCGGGTTACTGCTTACATGAATCACCATCTGCTTAAACCTATAACTAATGAAGAAATATTGAGAGCTCTCAGCCTTATGCACCCTGATAAAGCTCCCGGTCCTGATGGGCTCACAGCAGGTTTCTACAAACATCACTGGCACATTATTGGCAAAGGTGTGGTTTTTTTTGTTAAGCATTTCTTTTTCCAAGGCTTACTTGATCCTAAATTAAACCACACACATATTTTTTTAGTCCCAAAAATCCAATCTCCCCTTGAAGTTAAGGACTTTAGACCTATCAGCCTTTGTAATATAGCGTACAAAATTATCTCTAAAATTTTGGTTGAGTGCCTTAAACCTTGGTTGCATTCTGTGATTTCTGAGGCTCAAACTGCTTTTATTCCTGAGCGAAAAATTACTGATAATGTTATTATCACTCATGAGCTTCTTCAATCAATGCATACTCGTAAAAGAACTGCTCCTCATATGGATCTTAAATTGGATATAGCCAAAGCTTTTGATAAGGTTGAGTGGTCATATCTTAATTTTATGCTCAAGTCATTGGGTTTTGCAGATCAATGGCGTCATTGGACTATGACCTGTGTCACTTCAGTTTCCTATTCAATTCTAATCAATGGTGCGCCAGTTGGTAATATTAAACCGTCATGAAGTTTAAGACAAGGTGATCCAATTTCACCTTATCTCTATCTTATTTGTACTGAAGGTTTATCTTATATGCTCACTAAGATGGTCCAACAAAAACAGCTTCATGGTTTTCGTGCTAGTCGTGGGGGTCAAGCCATTTTCCGTATGTTTTTTGCTGATAACTCCCTATTATTTTGTAAAGCAGAGCCTACTGAATGCCATACTTTACTTGATGTACTGCACCGTTATGGACGTATCTCAGGCCTGTTTGTCAACTATCAGAAGTCTGCACTTATTTTCAGTAAGCATACTCCTCTTTCTCTGCAGCAGGCTTTAAAAACTCTCACATGAATTCTCAAAACTGGTTCTTTTGGCAAATATCTGGGTCTTCCTGATGTTATAGGACGATCTAGGAGTGATGTCTTTTATTTCATCCAGCAACGCTTATTCCAACGCTTAGATAGTTGGTATTCTAAGCTTTTATCACCTTTTGGCAAGGAAGTACTACTCAAAGCTGTTGCTACTGCTTTATCTACTTACTGTATTTCTTGTTTTCTCTTGCCTCATAAAGTGCTTAACTCAATGAATGCAGCCATACGTCAATTATGGTGGTCCACAAACAAAGATCGACATAAAATCCACTGGATAGCCTGGGATACAATTACACACCCGAAGAAGTTCGGAGGTCTAAGGATCAAGGATTTGCATGATTTCAATTTAGCTCTTATTGCTAAACAATCTTGGCGGATCCTTTGTCATCCCAATACCTTGATGGCTAGAGTATTAAGAGAAAAATATTTCCCTCACAAACATCTCCTTGATGCAACTATAAGTAATCGTCCAAGCATGATCTGGTGTAGTATTGTTCAAGGTAATCATCTCATTTCTAAAGGTCTCCGCTGGATAGTTGGAAATGGCAAACAATTTCGAGTTTGGAAAGATAACTGGCTCCCTTGTTTCCCCTCTGTCCATGCACAACCAATTGCTCCATCGACCAATCTTGATTTAAAAGTATCTGACCTCTTTATTTCAGGTACTTCTCAATGGAATGAACTTAAGTTACGCCAGCTCTTGGCTCCTTCCGATATCCCTTCAGTCCTCCGCATTCGCCCTAGTCTATCTCATTGTGAAGATTTGGTCAGTTGGAGTTTCACTAAAGACGGACTTTACTCCGACAAATTGGGTTACAACTTGCTTCGGGATGAACACCTTACCAGGCCTTCTCCTAGCTTTCAGCTGCATCAACGTATCTGGACTTTTTCAATTCCTCCTAAACTAAAGCATTTCTGGTGGAGAAGCCTCCATAATGTGCTCCCTAAAGCAGCAACTATTCAAAAGCGCCATCTCAGCTCTGATGCCACCTGTGTTCTTTGCGGGGAACATGAAGAAACATTGATTCGTCTTCTTTTCCAATGTAGAGTATCTAAAGAGATTTGGGAACTCTCTCCAGTGATCGTACCTGCAGGTACTCAATTGCTTTCAAACTCTTACACTTAAACCCTTGAAACTATTATATCGGCTAATCTTCAATTACGAAAACTCTCTCATTTATTTCTCTTCATTAGATGGAGGATTTGGAAAATGAGAAATGGTTTACTTTTTCAACATAAATTGTGGTCTATATCAGATGTCATTGCAAAATCTATTATGGATCACAAGTTATGGCTTCAATCATTATCTTATAACAGAGACCCCCATCGGTATGTGTCTACTACCTCACCTGCCTCTATTCAACATCCCCAGGCATCACTTTCTACTTTGAGCTGACATGATTATGTATGTTATGTAGATGGATGTGTACTAGGAATCGATAAGCATTGTATTGTGTGCATATCCGATGGAGATGCAATCAACCGTTTTAGGTCCAATGGTCAGCTTCTTAGGAGGTGGCACAACAACTTTTGCTAAGCACCCCCAGACTTTGAGGTATTTGTACGAAGGTACAAGTTCTTACCAAAGTTCATATGGCATTGTGCCAATTATCTTGTGTGGAATTTTGTTGAGGATGTAGTTTGTGGTGAGCAGCACTTCCCCCCCCCCCCCCCCCCCCCCCCCCCCCCCCCCCCCCCCCCCCCCCCCCCCCCCCCCCCCCCCCCCATTCTAGGGTGTCTCAGATTCCTGCAACCTTGCGTTCATCATCTCTTTCAGAGTGCGATTATTTCTCTCTGCAACTCCATTAGATTCTGGTGAGTAGGGAGCAGTTGTTTGATGTATGATGCCTTTCTCTTGACTGGAAGCGTTGAAAGGTCCATCATACTCGCCTCCGCTATCACTTCTAACCATTTTAATGGTTTTTCCCAGTTGGTTTTCAACTTCGAGCTTGTACTCTTTAAATTTGTCCAAGACTTCATCTTTTTTTTGCAGTAAGTATAGATAACAGTATCTTGTGCAATCATCAATGAAAGTCACGAAGTACTTCTTACCACCCCTTGTTTGTATGTACTTTAAATCACAAAATCAGTGTGGATTAAGCTAAGAGGTTTGGTTATTCTTTCAACATGAGGAGATGAGGTTTTTGTGAGTTTTGATTGCATACAAACTTCACACTTGTCTTTGCTAATTTTGCATTTGGGATTTGAGTTCAAATTCATCAGTCTTTGTACAGACTTATGATTCACATGTCCTATTTTTTCATGCCAAAGATTAGAAGACTCAACCAAAGCAACTGGTTTCTTATTCATATCATTTTCGGAAACAGGTACATCGTTTTTCTTGAGGATGGTCATTATACACATTTTGACCAATCTTTCCTTAACAAATCTTTTTCCAATGAAAACACAATTCTTCCTAAGAATCAGCTGGTCAGATTCGAAATTGATAGCAAATCCATGCTTGCTCAGCAGCGTGCCAGAGATCAGATTCTTCTTCATGCCCTCAGGTTTTCTTCAACCATGTTAGCTTCTGTTACAAATGCGCACATATCAGCTTGAGTTAGGTTGGCTTGATTAACACCCTTAGCTTTACTGCGATAGTTTGTAGCACGATGTCCCATCTTGTTGCAGTTGTTACACTTCCTAGAGAACTTCTTATTAGGAGCTTGAGCTTGCTTCTTGAAGTTTGAGGGGGCTTCATTTACAACTTTGTGAATCGCAGCCTTTGGAGGAAAGCTCTTTCCTTTCTCCTCTTTTTTTTAATTTAACCACATTTGCATCATGTGTCTGGGGTGGTTCAGCCTTGTCACATTTTTGTTACTCATTCTGAAGCCTGGTAATCAAGTTAGCCAATGACAGAGGCAGCTCTTGAAACCATCCCAGCCTGGGGGCAGCACTTCCCTAAAGCATTTAACCGTGAAGGTCTCACACAGCCTCATGCCTTCATCTGATATTTGCTGGAATATCGTTTGTAGCTCATGCACTTGATCCATAAGGGGCCTTGAGTCTACCATCCTGAAGTTAAGGAATTTCGCAGTTGCGAATTTTCCAAAACTCACGTTGAAGGTCTTGTATTTGTTTTCGAGAGCAATCCAAACATTTCTGAAAGTCTCGTAACCCTCACTGTACAAGTTGTACAGCTTATCTGCAAGGTTATTCAAGATGTAACTTTTGCGCAGGAAATCCGCATAGATCCACGCTTGGACAGTAGCAAGCATGTGCGGATCTGTATTCTCAGCAGGAAGCACTGGTTTAGTCTCAATGAGATATTTTGCCAGGTGCAACGTGGAAAGAAGTGTGTCCGCTTCTGCCACTGCTTGAAGTTTGTTCCATCGAACTTCTCAGGTTGAAGTCCAGCAGTTGGAATCGATGGAACCGTGTGTGGTTGACCATTCCCTTGTGGGATTGTCGGCTCACTTGTGTTTGGAAGTCCAACGTCAGTAGACATTCTGAATCTAAGCACAAAAACGAACTGGATTAGTTTTTGAGAACTCAATCCAGAAAAAGCTATTAAAATATTTAATTTGCTATTAATTGTTCACAGAAATCGCTTGATGGCATTCTTAAACCCTAATAGTCATTACCAAAAATTACATATAGGTGTTATTAAACACTATATATCATATCTATAAGATCATTTATAGACAAACGTTTCGCGATCCTGCCTAGGGCTAATGCGGAAATCGTTTTTTATATTTATGGTAATCGTCTATTTTTAAGATCAAACGTTCTACGGTTGGATATAAGATAATCGCAGAAGCATTATAGATCAATCAGAACATGTTTTTAAAAATCGTTTTATAAAATCGTTTTGGAAGAATTGTTCGCAGTATTCAATATGATTCAAGCGATTAGCATGAAACGGATTTAAAGAATTAAGATTGTAGGACCGCAAAAATCTGGATTAAAATCACGAAACCAAAAACAGTGGAAATCAATAATAAACGATAATAATTTATAAAACGTTTTAATAAAAACCTTTAAGGAAAGACAATACACGGAGTCGAGATATGATCTCTTTCCTTAATTTTTTAAATCTTCCACAGTGTGGCGGTTTGATGAGATTCAGAATCCCATGATACAACCATGTTGAGACTAAAGTCGCAGCACCCGACTATAGAATCTGTGAACTTAGAAACTACGTTATACTCTCGAGACTTACCTAAGACTATAGAGACGAGAGGGATTTGCTGGATATTTATGTTTTCGAAAGCTATGTGTTTTGCTAATGAAGAATAATGAATGAGAGAGACAAGTATATATAGTGGAAGGAAGGATTTGCCTTGGCAGCCACTCTTAGATAAACGGAAATATCGAAAATCTTCTTTTCATTATCGCAAAAGGATATACATATCGGAAATATATCGAAATTAATTATTCCTTGTTCGATAAGTATAAGGGCGAGACGGAAATATTACGAAAATATTCTCTCATTAATTTTCGCCTAAATCAAAAAGATTTACCGAATTATACAAAATATCTTTAAGGAATATTAACATATATGTGAAAATAGGCTAATAAGTATGTACTCCAAAATAGGAAGTCCATATTCACCAAGACCTAAGAACCAAGTCTGAGCCCGGCTCGGCACAGCGTGCGTGCGTGTGTAGTTTTGCATAACAGACGTTTCTCTCCTTCTCCATAGTGTTCTTTTCTCAAAGCTAGTGAACCTTGTTGAGAGTGTATCACTATATATACTAGTAGAAAATTCTTCCAACTTTCGATGTGGGACAAATGGTCATCCTGACATTTGTTGACCTTTTGTATTGATCACATGCCCACGTTGACCAAAGATTTCTAATTCGAATCAACTTTGTTTTTGACAAGTGAATACATTATCTTATAGTACTCATTACAAAAAAATCCAAAGAATCCATAATCTGATCATTTCGATAACTGTGCTCACCGTAAATATCGCCGGAAAATTGGCATGAGCCATTTGTCAAAAAATAAGTTCCAACAGAGATAGTATGAAATCTTACAAATTATCAGAGTTCATCATTCAACCATTTATACAAAATTGAAAAGTGGACAATTAAACTAAAACAGACGAAGTTATCAAACTACGAAACTAAACTATTGGAAGCGGCTGCGTAGTGGAACCGAAAAACTTCAAATTTAGCCGAGAAGAATTCCAAATACAATCACTGCCACAAAACCCCGACGGATTGTATGCCACCGCCGTTGGCTCTGACGCCTGAAATCCTAATTCCCGCCAAGAAGTATCAGCTTCCCTACCTGAGAACCCAACACCATCCGCACATCCCAAATCGGAAACAAACCATAATTGGCCTGATCCACTCTGTTCGGAATTGATCTTCTTCGACATAAGTTCTCTTTTTATCTGTCTGACTCCAGAAATTGGGCATTGTTGATCGAGAGGTAATTCCTGAGTTCCTTGTAGGAACCGCAAAAACCAAAATTGAATATTGCGATATATAAACAATTACAGACGATAATATTGTAAGAAGAAAGAGTAGAAACGAGACCTTTGGAAAACACGATTTAAACAATAAAGAAAAATCAGAGTCGAGAATTTGATTCTCTTTTCTTAACTCAAAAAATCGCCTGTAGTCAGACGGTTCTATACAATTTAGAGTCCCAGGATACAACCAATGGAAGACCGTTTCGCAGCACTCAAAAAACGGAATATACGAACTTAAGAAATTGTACTTAAACTCTTGAGACTTACTATGAACCAAAAGATTGCTAGAGGAAGAAAATTTTTGAGTGAGAGAGATATATCGCTGTGAAAGTTGTGTTTTAGAATAAGAATAAAGGCTTTCTTTTATAGCCAAGAGGAGGATTTTGTTGCAAATCTTTTCAATAAAGACGAAGACGTAACAGACGCAAAAGAGAGATGGTTGGGCAAAAAAACCGCAAACTTTATAAGTCAAAAAGTCATAAATTTCAAATTAATACTAGCTATGACTGATTCTTTGTTGGGATAAGATTTTAATCATTTGGTTTAAAGATTGGGCCTAAAAACAATTATCAAAATTTGGCCCAAAAAAATAGCCACCTTTGGCCCGAAGGCCCATTTGACCAGCACGACCTGTGCTCGTGCTCGGCCTGGCCTGGCTCGGCTCGGCTTGGCGGCGATGCACGCACATGGTTTGTTTTTTCTCTCTCATGCACTCCATGGGTACTTGCTAGTTGAACACTAGAAATACTCCTTCTCTATATATACTACATAATTTTCTCTAATATTTTCGATGTGGGACTTTGAACAATTCCCTCACTTACAATTCTCATTTCTCTTGGGCCAATAATCGGCCCATTTCTTTTCACTCTTGTTCCAATTTTTTCATAAGACCATTGGCTTAA